GGACTCGATAGGACATTATCCATCTATTTTTCGCAAATCCATCATCACCATCATTACCTTTGCCATCCACCTTCACAACGGAGATCTTTTGATTTCTTGATTATCATACTTTTATTTTTAAGTTCTTTATCTTTTGTTTATCTTGTTCTAATCTTGTTTTTCACCTTGTTTCTAACATCTAAAAGAAACCCTAAGAACCCTACTTGCATGACGCCACCTTCCCCTATTTTTTCTCCTTTGTTCTTCATCGAGTCTAGAGCTTTCTAGGTTTGATTCTTCAACAAGACCAACGTTCATTAACCAACCACCGCTTCCCTATCACTTCACCCGACCCTTAAGTTTGAAAAATGAATTAGCTTTATTTTTGAAGTGTTTATCATTTTCATATATATATATATATATATAGTGAATGGCCACTTACATATTGAGAAAAACATAAATTCCCAAATAACATACAAAAGAAAGACCAAATGCTTGTTTTTTTTTTTTTTCAATAGACAGACAATCAAAAAAAGATAGACAATCATTGGTCTTTTACGTGCTAATTGCAGAATAAGTCCTCATAGTATGACTTAAGTTTTAAATTAGTTTTCAAACTTAGAAACATTCTAATTAGACGTCAAGGTATCAATATTTTGTTAATCAAATCCTATTATATTAATTTAGTTGTTAGTATGGACACTACATGTTAGTTCGAATTTAACATGTAGCATTATTGATAAAAACAAAAAAGTCATGACAATGTTGGCGATTTAGCCTTTCTAATTTGAGTAGAGAGTCGCAACTAGTTGTTTAATGGCAGTTGGTCGGTGTTTAGGTCCTTTGTCTTCATAAAGAGGTAGAGGAAGAACAAGTGAAGAAAGTGATCACATATTTTTCTTTCGATCTTGGATGAGAAACTTTACAATGACTCTTAGTGTTGGTGTCAGGCCTAAGATTATGATGACTATACATAGGCTGATAGGATGAATAGACTCGTCTGTCAGTATATCATGTGGGTCTGTTGATGCTTACATTATGAGGTTATAATTGGCCAAAAGATATGGAACTCTGGAGACTTTGAGGAACTTCATAGATGCAACCAAGTGTGACATGCAGAGGTGTAACAATTAGGGGTGTGCAAAGTCGAATATCAGATCTGATTTGATCCGAAATCGGATCACTAAAATAGTGATATGAATCCGATCCGAAATAAATGGATATCTGAATTTTTAGGTCGAATATCTGAATATCCGATCTAAATATATAATTTATTTTGTCTAAAATTATTATGATCATAAAGTAACCTTTCTTAAGCGCTCAATTGATGGCTCCGATGATGTATTTGCTACTTCCATTAAGGGTCTCTTCAACACTCAACGACGCAAAACCAAACAATTTGTACTATGAACTATGAACTATGAACTATGAGAAGTGAAGATAAGGGAGACTAACAAGGAAAGTTGAGTGATGGTGAAACAGAGATCTCCCTATTTTCTCGACAGATGACAACCACCAAAGATAAGAAACTTAATAGGCGACACACAAATAAGTTCCAGAAAGGTAATGGATTTGTTTCTTTCCCCTGATTTAGTTTTGTTTCAAACAATGGTGTCTATTTCTCGAGGGTTTTTCCTACCATGCAATGAAAGGATGAAGTTTAAATACTTTTTTCTGGTTATATTTCAGATTCATTTTAGGAAGCAATTAAAAAAAACTAAAACAAATGCAAGTACAAAACACTTGTTATATTGCCTAATTTGAGGATGGAGAATGGTGATTGCAGCCACATGCTGGGATTTAGGAGAGTTTACCGTGAAAGGTAGGTTGTTAATGGCCTAGGGCTAAAGGCCCATTTACTTTTTGGATATTTGGATAATCCGAAACTAAAATTTCTTCGATCCGTATTTGATTTGATTATCTGAATTTTTTATCGGATATCCAATCCGAATTATTCGAAAAATAAAATCGGATCGAATCATCAAAAAACGGATGAAGTTGTTCGAATCGAATATTTTTGCAAACCCCTAGTAACAATTGTCCCTCATTGGTCCAGGGAATGCCATAAAATGGCATGACCTGTTACTTATGGCAAAATATGCTTCTTATCAAGCTTTGACATGAAGGCCTTTCTATGGAGTAGCCATGATTTGATCTAGAAAGCCGACAGATGTTCTGATTTTCTATTTCAGAGGTTCCTACCAGTAATTGATTTAAAATTGAGTTGCGTATTACAATTTCTAGGCTATGAGGATTTGTCTATGAGCTTATACATATATTATGCGGATGACTCTCAATTCTTTAGTGAGATATCTCATTTTAATAGAGGTATATTGGTCGGAGTCATATTTGATATCGTGTATGTTTCGCTATGAAGGATTCTCAAAACTTTTGGGAGTTATTTTTGCATTGGAGATCAAGGTCAAGTTTCCTCGACCTTAGTGGAGGCATCTATACTTCATTTGGTCGGTATATAGATTGTGGTATAATCCTTTCAACGATGATGGGTCAAAGGCTTTTTCAATTCCTTGGTCATAGAGGAGACAACCCAACATCTGTAAAAAGAGAAGAGGCATCCCCACATATTTGGAGTGAGGGCGTCTTGATGTTCTATGATCGACAATAGGGGTTCCTATTTTTAGAACAAAGGCATCCCAACTCTTTCGGTCGATGTTAGGAAGAATTCATTTAGTGTGAGAGGAGTGGACACATCTCAACGTTCTCAAACAATATAAGAGGCAACTCGATGCCATCCGAGGAATCAAGTGGACTATTTGAGCCCTCCTCGCTTATAAACAATAGGATAGTTCGAATTTTCCCTTGCTAAGGTAAAGACAATTTTTAAATAAGGTGGAGTTGTTTCCACGCTTATGCATATATTATGCGAACGATCCCTGATTTCTTAATTTAGGATAGATTGAACCAGTTAGAGTTATCTCCAGCCTTGCATGCCTTTTCGTGTGAAGGATGATAGACACTTTTGGGATAACTCAATTAATTCAGGTAGAGTTGTCTCCAGGCCTATGTATATTCTTTATGAAGGATTCTTAACCCCGAGTTGGGAAATATGTATTAAATTGGACAGAGTAATCTATAGACACTTATGCATTCCATGCTGAGGGTGCTAACGCTTTTGAGATAATTAATTCAGGCAAAGTTGTCTCTATGATTGTATGTATTTACTACGGAGGATTCTAAACACTTTAGATAAGATTGTATCCTCATTCTTTAGAGGCCAATGGTAAATTTATTCGACTTTAGCAAATACATCTCTACTACATTTGGTCGGTGAGGTCATAATGTCATTTCTGTTGGAAATATGTACATGTTCTCGATCGTGAAAGAGGTAACTCGACATCCTTGAAAGAGTTTGATGGGGTAGAAGCATCTTCGCCTTCGTATAAGCAATGTCAAGATCATTATCCATCATTTCTAGGAGAAATATATCTCTACACTTATACTATAAACGAAGGAATTCATACTGTCGAGTGAAAATATCTCAACACTTTTTGGAGGACATGTTAAGTCGTGAAAGCTAGAATAAGGTAACTCCTCTCGATATAATACCATGAGTTATGTAGAGGTATCTCAATGTTTTTGGGTGGAGACTTCTCTGCTCCCTGTGATTTGGTAATGGAATAATTCATATTGCAGAGACGGAGACATCTCAACTTTATTGTCTCGTATCAGGAAGAGTTCTTTTATTTATAGAGGAGCGAATGTCTCTCAACATCCACACCCGATTAGATGAGTAACTCAATCTACAGTATATTTCACAGGTGTGATTGAGGCATATTCGTCTTAGTATAAGCAGTGAGGTGGAATTCCTCTCTCTAGGGTAAAAATATCTCAATTTGATCTTTGATATTGATATAGCATTTTCAACAATTGTTGATATAATATTACATATTAAAATATTAAGGGTAAACTACATATTTAATCACTCAACTATCACTTTGGTTATGTTTTGGTCACTAAACTATTTTTTTCAAATTTATTACTAATGTTATGTTTTGGTTTCATTTGGTTCACTCGCTGTTAAAAAATTAATGGTGATGTCGACGTGTCACTATAAGATAATGTCACATCATCATTGAAAAAGCGACATGCAAGCAATTTTATTAATTTTTTAAAAGCAAGTGACCAAAATGAAACTAAAATGTAACGTTAGTGATGATTTTTAAAAAATAGTTAGATAACCAAAACTAAATCAAAGTGATAAAGGGTAACTAAATATGTAGTTTACCTTTAATGTTTTAGTACGTCTTATATCACCAACTTGATCGATTGAAATGCTACATTTATATCAATGATCAAATCGAGAACTTTTTTCGAGTTAAAATACCATAATGATAAAAAATTAGATACATTAAAAGATTATCAAATTCAATAGCTAACTGATATATTAATTAAAAAAACAGTAAGGATTTTCTTTTCCAAACGGTTTACTTGTCTTATTTGTGCTTTCACTTTGGTAATTCCACAAAAGGAGAAGAATATAAAGGGTACACTACACATTTAGTATCCTAACTATTATTTTTGTTATGTTTTGGTCACTTAACTAATTTTTTAAATTATATATAATGTTAAGTTTTGGTTTATTTTGATCATCCACCGTTAAGAACTTAACAGAACTGCGAACATAACATTTTTTTATTTTTTAATGATACCATAGCATTACCTTATGGTGACATGTTACTATCACAATTAAGTTTTTAAAGATGCGTGACCAAAATGAAACTAGAACTAAATGTTATGCATATTTTTAGAAAAAATAATAGTTAGGTGAACTAAATGGAAATAAAAGTTATAGTTGGGTACTATATGTGTCGTTTACCCAAATATAAAATGGGCCTTAAGTTTGTACGGACTAATAAGCAATAGACCCAATGATAAACCCATACAAATACAAAGAATGGGTTAGTTGGACGACTCACCATTTCCACCCCTTCGTACTCTTAGCCTACACGCCTCCCGTGTACTTTAGCAATCACCTGACCGCACCATTTCAATATCTTGCATATTCCCTTTTTGTGTGTGTGATTAATTTTTGTTTCGGGAAAGCCCAAAAATACCCGAAAAAATAAAAAGAAAATTGAAGGAATAAAAAATCAGGGTTCCTTCTTTACTGAGTTGCTAACTCACTTTGAATCGGGGGGCGTTTCAAATGCCTTCAAATTTTCGTGCTAAATTGTTGCGGGAAACCCTAGAGAGTACCAAAGTGTTACGCCGTTTGGGCGATTTGGCGTGCCTTTGAGTTTCGATTGATTATTTAATCCACTTTCCGATGGCGCCCGGCCGAAGAAAGGGCACCAGTAAGGCGGCTGCTTCCGCCGCCGCTCGCCGTCAATGGAAAGTCGGCGATCTTGTCCTTGCTAAAATCAAAGGTTTCCCTGCTTGGCCTGCCATGGTATGCCGATACATATATTACCATTTTTTTTGTATATTTTAAGAAAATCTTTATTATGTTAGAAGATATGTTATTGCCAGCAGGTTTGTAGTTGCATGTGGGGTTTTCTTGATAATTATTTTTGTTGGGTTAGGTGACATGGTTAATTTCTTTCTATCTAGGGTTTAATTTTGTGTTGCTAGAGTGGGGTTTCCTTTTGTTTTACATCTATAATCTTTAGCTTTGTTTTAGTTTAGTTGTTACTAATAAAAAGATGTTCTTGGAATTTGTTCATTCTGAATTTTGAATGAATTTATTAAAAAATTAAACTAGGAACCATGTTGATTACTTCTGTTGAAAACTACTTGTGTAGAATCAAATTCTTGGTTTCTATATTCTGCTAAAATTACTTAAGAGTATGTGGATATTTGTCCTTTAATATGTTTTTGTCATTTCTAACTTCCTTCTGACTATTTAGTTTTCCCAGTCAGCCTATTTTCCTATCTTTTCTCCCCTCTTTTCTCCACCTCTTTATTTTCTTTGCAGTAGCATAATCATTTGCTTCTTATGTTTTTTTCCGATTGCTTGCAACAGATAAGTGAGCCTGAGAAGTGGGGCTATTCATCTGATAGGAAGAAAGTTTTAGTTCACTTTTTTGGAACACAGCAAATGTAAGTGCAGTTTTCATTGTTATCTTTCTGTTCTATTCAATCTTTTTCATTGCTGTTCTTTTCTCTTTTTCGCTCCGTTTTGTCACATTCTATTAGAATATTAGTTGGTCATACCTATATCTAAAATCAGTTTTTACCCTATGTTTGGTTTGTGCCAATACTGAACCTCAATATGCTGTTGGTTACATGAGTGATCTTTTCCATGTTATCTAATGCCATATGCTCTATTTGGATTGATTTTGGTTCTTCCTCTTTATATTATAATATTCAGCCTGATTATAAGTTTTATAGTTTTTGTTTAGAGAACCTATGTGGGGTTTTTTGAAGGGTAAAGATACCGTAATAGGAAAAGTACTGTTTTGGGGCTCCCAACAAAAGCGATGTATATATAGTTGAGGCCATACAATTCTCAATTATCTTTTCTGCTTGGTTGTGACATATCACACTGTAACATTTGAATACGTGTTAGAAAAGTTTTACATTCTGGGAAAAAAGGACTTCTAGAATATCAAGCTCCTGGATATTGCTGGTATTTTTTCTGATTTAGGAAAAGCCATGTGGTTCTTGGTTGATGCTGATGAGCGATCTTTTCCTTGGTTTAGCTTGGATCTTATTTTCAATGTTATCAAATGGTCAACCTTGTGCTCTCTTTGGGCATCTTTGGTTTTTCCTTATTATATTAAAATATTTGGCCTGATTATAAGTTCTATAGTTTTTGTTTAGAGAACCTATGCAGGGTTTCTTGAAGGGTAAATATAATGTAGTAGGAAATGGACTTTTTGGAGGCTTCCAAGAAAAGTGAGTCTCTTTAGTTGAGATACTGTTATTCTCATTTATCTTTTTCTGTTTGGTTGTGACATCTCTCACTGTAACAGTTGGATATTTGTTATAAAAGAAGTTTTACATGCTGGTAAAAAAGAATTCTAGAATATCAAGTACCTGGAAAGTATTGCTGGTATTATTTTCCCTAATTTAGGATAAACTTGTGTGGTTGTTAGCTGATGCGATGTTTAGTAAGAGAGGTAGTCCTTGAACTTGGAAATCTACATACTAGCAAAACTATACGTGGTCATTTATAACTTGGGTTTAGAAGTACATTAATTTTTTACCAGTGTTGTAAGGGTGAGTTTGGTATAATCTTTTCCGGAATTGCATTCTCACGTTTGGTTTGGGAGGATTCCCCCAGGTGTAGTGATCTTTTACTAACAGTGGCACTTTCCCCCCAAATGGTGATAATGTCATTCCCACTATTTTTAGGTATTGCATAATTCTTGCCCTTTTGGACCATATTCCCAAAAATAAGGGGTTTTGTTCATACGGATCCTTTGTTGCATTTTTAACCAGATAACTAATTATTTGTGGTGTAAATTAATTAAATATTCTTATTATATATCTGTTTAATATTTAAATGGTGTTACACATTTAAATAGTGCTTTAAAATTTAATGTGTTTTTATTACTTTTTTATTTATGTTGTTTCTAAGGTTGTATGGTTGAATTGCATGCTGCTTGAGAGTGAATGAGTTAACAGTTAATGTTATTAATTTTATTCTTTGGTTTTATAAGCTGTTTCTCATCTTAAAAAAATGTTTTAATAGGCTAAATTTATGACCTAATTTTTTTATCAGATTTTTACTACTTTATGATTTTTTTTACTGTAATTTATTTGACAAAGTGTCGTAAGCAATAAAAAAAATTGAACATATTAAACATTTAGCATTTCGCAATTCACAAAAAATTAATGTAAAGAGTAATGAGGGTATGCAAATAAGTGTATTTTTTAAAATTGTTTTTTATACTAGTTGTATTAATAATATGATAAATATGATAAGGAGGCCTCCTATTCATATAAAAAAAATGATAAATATGAAGTTTTTGCAAAATTTAGATAATGTGACAAAAATAATTTTATGTTTTCATGCAAATATTTTCAATTTAATATTGAAAGTTTAACATGTTAAAAAGAACATATATCACGAGGACAATTTGGTAAATTTTGTTTTTAGGTAATATTATATTTCCCAATCAAGCATTTTAATCTTACATTCCTATCAAATACACCAAACAAGTTAGTGTAATATTCCTAGCAATGTGTCAAGTAATATTACATTTCAAGGATCCTATTCCCTGAGGTAGTAATACATTCTGTGAACCAAACGCCCCCTAATGGTACTTCCTCTTCCTAGTGGTGATGTTTCATATGTTTAATGTGAAAGATTTATGAAACCTTTTAGAAATCTTAAATGGGTGGTGGAGTGTGAAGATGCTATTTTTAATGTATAATATCTTTATGTATAAAAAGAATTTAGTTACCACTTCTATTTTGTTTTCTATCAAATACACCAAACAAGTTAGTGTAATATTCCCAATAATGTGTCAAGTAATGTTACATTTCAAGAATCCTATTCCCAGAGGTAGTCATACATCCTTTGAACCAAACTCCCCCTAATTGTATTTCCTCTTCCTAGTGGTGATGTTTCATATGTTTAATGTGAAAGATTTGTTAAACCTTTTAGAAATCTGAAATGGGTGGTGAAGTGAGAGGATGCTATTTTTAATGTATGGTATCTTTATTTATAATAAGAATTTAGTTACCACTTCTGTTTTGTTTGCTATACTTACATTATCTAAATAAACTGTATGACTAAAAGCTCTTGCATATATTTGTTGCAGGAATTACTTATCTTTATTGTTACTATAATATTGTTGTAAAACAATTTTCAAGTGGTCTTTTTCATATGGGTATTTATATTTGTTATTTGACATAATGTTATCTAAGTAAATCATGTATTGCCTTTACATTGACTAAAAAATATTGGATGTATTTGTTATAGGAATTAGGAATCGTGATAGTTGCTATAAATATGTTAAGGGTTGCCTTTGTAGACAATATTATTATTATTTTTTTTATAGGAATTGAGGCCTCATTAAAAAACCCCTTCATGATTTAAGGAACTCATATTTAATTCCTTAATCAGAGGAAGGAGGAAAAGAGTGACTTAAACTTTATTAATAAAGATACATAAGATTTACAATAAAAAGATAAAACCCTTACAAACAACCTAAAAACCCAAAATAAAATACCCCAACAACAAAGTAAAATTAACCAATACCAGACTTGGCCAACCCATCAGCCTCAATATTGGCTGTCCTAGCCACCCATCTAATAACTCCCTCGACTTCTTTGAGTTTAACAACTACCTCCCTAACAATGGAGGCATAGAAAACAGGACAACAAGATCCATCCTTAATCCAATCCACTACCATTTTACAATCTGATTCTATAATCAACCGACCCTTAATACCTCCTCTCACTGAGTGAAAGAAATTTAAACCCTCCTTAACAGCCTTTAACTCCATCAGAATAGGTGGACCCAGACCAGAAGCCGTTTTAAAAGAACCTAAAAGTAGACCTTCTTCATCTCTTAGAATACCCTCAATTCCACTGCTCTTCCAGTCAGAACTAGAAGCTGCATCCACATTCAGTTTGACAAAGCCCTTAGGAGGGGGGACCAAGGGATGGTAGAGACAATTGATTTGTTTGGAGGGAAACATGAATCCCCAAGGGAAGAGTCACTGATAAGGGAATCCAAAGAAATGTCCGAATCTGCAAACTTAGCTAGGAACCAAGATGCAAGCCTTACTATAGCTAAGAAAAATAAATTAGTTTGATCTAACTTCCCTCTTTCGAAGACGATGTCATTTCTAACTTTCCAAACAGTCCACATAACAACAGTCGAAATAAAGTTCCAAATAGTAGAACTGGAATTTAGATCTTCCCAAGCTAGAAGAAAGTTTTGCGCATTTCCATGAAAGACCAAATTGATGCTCCAATACTGCAAAAATTTATTCCACAAAGACCACACGACAGAACAAGAGAAAAATAAATGAGAAGAGGATTCATCCACCAAATTACATAAAGGACAGGAAAGATCTACAATATCCGAAACCCCTCTTTTAGCCAGTTCAGTCCTCATTGGCAGTCTTTGAAGGACCACCTGCCACATAAAAGTCTCAATCCTTGGTGGCACCAATCCTTTCCACAAAATTTTCTTCCAAAAAGAGTTCGCCTGAGAAACCGAGGAACAAATCTTCACACATGAATTAACAGAATAAACACCATCCCCTCTCTCTTTCCAGATCAGAGCATCGCTGGCATCTTTAGACAAGCAAAAATTAGAAATGATTGTCATCAGATTAGTCCACTGTTCAAATTCCCAATCCGCCAAATTCCTCCTCAATCGAATATTCCAAATCCAACCTAAAGAACTAAACTGGCCGAAGTCAATTAATTTACCACTCTGATTTGAAGAGATAGCAAACAACCTTGGGAAAGAGACCTTAAGAGGGCAGTCCATTGCCCATTTGTCCTGCCAAAAACGAATAAACTGACCACAACCAACTTGAATTCTGCACATACTTCGAAATTTTGAGCCAAATGAGTCTTCTTTAAAATGAGAGTTAACCACTGAACTCCAAAATATATTATTATTATTATTATTATTGATAAAAATGGGAGGTCTCGTTAAAAAAAACCCCTTCATATCTGTCGAAATACAATACGGTATCTCAACAAACATTGGAAGGAGGAAAAGAGTACCTCAAAGTTTTATTAGATAAGCCAAATTAGTACAACAGAGAAAGATAGAGCCTAGGAACATACTCCAAACCAAAAAACAGGACCAACTAGAGACAAAACCAAACCCACAAAACAAGAGACAACGAATTTAACCAATGCCTAATTTTGCTAACTTATCCGCATCCCAATTGGCACTTCTCTAGATGTGCCTAAGAATCACATTATTATCCAACACAATAGAGACAATTTCCTTCACTAATTACTCGAACGAGGCGGGAGAAGAGCCAGGATTTTTTATCCACTTCAAGGCATTAACACAATCACTTTCCAAAATCAAACACCCCTTAGCACCCCATTCTGTTTCCACGAAGAAAAGCAAACCAGCACTCACTGCCTTCAATTCAGACAGGGCTGGAGGACTGGGCCCAACAGGTTCAAAAAAGGACCCTAGCAGGTTGTTGTCAGAGTCCCGAAGTAAACCTCCAATGCCACCACTTTTCCAATCCCTATTCACTGCACCATCAACATTAACTTTAAAAAAACCCGGGGGCGGGGGAGTCCAAGAGGGGGAGGAAGGAGCTAACTTTTTGCTACTTTTACAAGAATCAGCCAAGGAAGGATCCCCAGTAAGACAATCAAACGGAATAGGAAGATTAGGAAACTTTGCCGTGAACAACGCAGCCAGTCTATATCTTGTTAGAAAATAGAGTTGAGTTTGATCTAATTCTAGCGATTATTTGGTTATTATTATGAAATTGATTTTATTAGTATTCTATCATGAGATTTTATTTATAAGTATTTTATATCGTTGGAAGCCTTTCTTTAGTAGGAGACTGGAGACTTGCTTTTAATTACTTTAGTAACTCTTTTATTTTACTTGTAACAAAATATTTTTGTAAAACTTTTTCCAATTGGTCTTTTTCATTTTGGCATTTATATTTGTTGTTATTTGACATAACTCCATCTTTTTTGCTACTTGTATGACGTATGTAGTTTCCTTTGACATGTTTTGGGTTTTGTTAGTTCTTATGGATACCTTTCATGCAGAGCCTTCTGTAATCCCGCTGATGTTGAAGCATTTACTGAAGAGAAGAAACAATCTCTTTTGATCAAACGTCAAAGGAAGGATGCAGATTTTGTTCGTGCAGTCCAGGAAATTATCAACAGTTATGAGAATTCAAAGAAGCAGGACCAAGTTAATAATTTTAATTATGATGATAGAGTCATTGGGGCAAATTGTGGGAACTCAGTGGACTCATCTGCATCAAAGGATCTAACTGACACTTGTGAGGCGACATCAAAATTTCCATTAGAAACTTCAGATGATGTTATAAATCAAAATGATCCTATCCTTGCAACTGAGGTTACTCAACCTGAGGCAAAAATAGATGGTGTGTGTGAAAAAGAATCCATTTCAGAGCAGCCTCCTGATACAGTGTTGATTAAAGAAACACCAGCATTGACTACATACTCATCAAGAAAAAGATCTGATGGATTACAATTTCAAAAAACCATTGCACAAAAGAAAGCAGCACAAGTTCGAAGGGTAAGAAGCTCATCAAGGGTGGAACCATCTAGATTACAGAACTTTATGAAGCTATCTAATGATATTGGGACTGCTTTTGATATACCAACAAATGTGATCCCGGATGGATCCTTGAGGAGGGATAAACAATTCAAGAAATCTGCGGAAGATTTTGAGAGTGATGATGTTGACTCGTCTATGTTAATGTCAAATGGTAGCATTGATTATTATGGCTCGGAAATTGCCACTGTTGATTCAGATGGTGGTAGTTTGAATGAAGGCACTGTGGATTCTATTTGTAAACCTGAACACTCTGAGAATGATCTTGAGTGTTTGGAAGGAGATGCTGAGTTGAGTAAAGGGCTAGATTTACCAATAAAAGCTGTTGTCATTAAGAAGAAAAGGAAACCATTTAGAAAATGGATGAATAATAACCTAACTGAGCTTCCTGTTAGAATGGGTAAAGAAGAAAAATTGAATTTAGGAATCAATAATGCTGGGAAAAATTTGCTAAATACATGCAAAAATTCTAGCGATGGATATTCCAAAGATGATGGAGATGAGCACCTACCATTGCTGAAAAGAGCAAGGGTTCGCATGGGCAAACTGGAAGCTGCTGGTGACTTCAATTGTTCTTTACCAACTGAAGAAAAACTTGTTAATGAAGGTGCAGTCAATTCATTGGAGCAGATGAGTCCATCATCAAGTTGTCACAACGTTTCTCCAACTGATAGAGATTGTTTAAAATTGAAGGGAGTTTTGGTTAATATATCACCTTCAAAAGGTAACATTCAATTTCAAGGAAGCACACCAGAAGGTCCAGAACCTTTGAAAGTTGAGACAAATCAATTAGGCTGCTTGGCAGGTGGTGAAGCTGCCTTGCCTCCTTCTAAACGTCTCCATCGTGCTTTGGAAGCTATGTCTGCTAATGCTGCTGAAGAAGATCAGACATGTCCTGAACACTCGCTAAAAATGAAAACACCAGATGGTCAATGTCATGGTTCTCCAATAAGGAGTGACTCTCATATAACAGTTAAGGAAGAAGAAGGCAAAGGGTTGGAGCAAGGTGGCATGGATTTGATTGTTAATAGTGATTTCATTATCTTTTCCATTCCAAATTCAATGCCTTCGGAGAAACTAGCCAAATCTTCTTTGGAATCAGATATTTGCAGTCAACCTGCCGATAGTCCTAACAGTCAAAAGCTTGAACTCGATAAGGATGTCTTAGTTAAGTCCATGAACCATGTTAGTGAAGATACTCGTGAAGGCCAAAGTTTAGAATACTTATCACCTAATCCTGACAAAAGCCAGGCTCTCAATTGTGGTTCTTCAGATCAGTTGCTTTCGAAGGATGATTCTGATGTTGAACCTGCTGGCTTAAGCAATTTTAAGACTGAAGATCCTAATGAACAGTTAAATACATCAGAGCATAGTGACATGAGTTTGGATCCTATCACAGGAACTGAGAAAGCTTTCAAAATTTCACCTCAAGAGGGTTCAAATTTGTTTCAGTGTTCTGCCCAGCATACCATTCATGAGAAAAGTGAGTCATCAAAGTCTCAAACTGATGACAACAGCTTAGTGCACAGCATGTAAGCATTGCTGCCTTATTTCTATCACAGCTATTCAGTGAATTGATATTGAGAAACACTTTTCTTAAAGATATACATGAAATATCAACATTTAACAGTGTCATTTGCACCTCTAATCATGGAAGTGGTTTCTCTAATCTAATCTTTTGGAATTTGAATGTAATGACTGTAAGTGAACTAAATAGTTGTGATGCTAATATTAACATAAACCTTGTAAAAGAATTGAATTCTCAATGGGGTCTATCGTATGTCCTTCCTCAGTGTTTTTGTTTTTATGTCTTTAGTGAATATCTGCCATTAATTTCTAGAACTGACTTTCTTGTTTTGACTTAGTTGTGAGGTTCCAGAAGCATTTCAAACTGACCGAAAGCAGATGTCAACTAGTTTGATTCGTGATGATAACTCGGACAAGGATGTTGTAGCTGTCCAGTTAAGTCCATTTCCAGTTGATGAAGTAGATTCTCCTGCTAGAGTGTCTCCTTTCAATGCTTTGAATTTCCATGTTTCCACTTCAGAGAGTGCTAATATCATTCAAAGCAATGGGTATTGTAGTCCAAATGTTCAGTCCCAATCCAACAAATCTCTATCTGTTTCAATTGCTGACGATGAAGGTAGAGCCGACTCTGTGGCCTCTGAAAGGCCCAAATCTGTTAGTAAGTGCAGTAATTACACCGAAGCACATTCTGTTTTGTCATCCTTGGAAAACACTCTTGCGGTTTTAACAAGGACAAAGGAGAGCATTGCTCGTGCAACACGCATAGCAATTGGTTGTGCAAAATTTGGTGTGTCTGCTAAGGTAGGATATTTCTTCACATCTTTTTGGTTATTTTTTATTTGCTTTAATTATAGTTGTTGGGTTTCATGGAATTAGATTCTAATGGCATTAAAATTGAGGGATATGTAAGATATCAGAAGAGGTTTTATTTGGACTTGTGGTAGAGGATAAATTAACTTCTATTGTGGAAGCCAAGGACATTTTACTGATAGATATGTAGTTAAGAATGAAAAATGCTAGAAAAAAGGCATTAATTTAAATTATTCATAAATTTCATTTGGACTTTTTATTAGTTAATTTCCTTCCATTGGCAACTTATTCAGGTCAGAAAAGTTGGGGACCCTAAATTGTTATTGGATTAGGAATTTGTTCTAAATTGTTTTGGGCGAGGGTCACCAAATAAATAAAAAATTATTTATTAGTACAATCACTGTTTGCAGCACTTTTTTTTTTGATAGGAATAGGAGGCCTCATTAAAAACCTCCCTCTTAGTTGGCTCTTGTGAAAGAGGCAACTAGCGGAAGGAGGAAAAGAGTACCTCATTTTATTAATAACCCATAATTACATAAGATACAACTTACATAATTGGACAGTTAGAGCTTCTTGGATTTGGAGAGGAGTTATTCAAAATTTCTTTTCTATTGATGATTTTGGGGATTGCCTTAGAAAAAACATGTGTTTGAGAGCTGGAAATGGAGAATTAGTGGAGTTTTGGAATGATACTTGGCTGGGCATTGTTCCTCTGAAGGAACGATTTCCAAGACTTTTTGCTTTATCGAATAACAAAAGGGGTAAAGTAGCAGATTTCAGAGTGAACAGTTACTCAGGGTGGGTGTGGGATATACAAGTGAGAAGAAATTTGGTGGACTGGGAGATTGAGCAATGGTTGCAACTTATTTCATTGCTGAATAGTACCACTCTCCAATTATTGGAGGAAGATTGTTGGATATGGTTAGGTAATGGGGAGGGTTGTTTTTCAGCTAAATCGTGTATTTTAAGGTTTTATGACCAGGAGGGTAATGAGGGTGAGGAGAGTAATTGGGAGAGGCATGTTTGGGCAGGGGTGGCTCCTCCACGGGTAGAAGCTTTCGTTTGGCAAGTTGCACATCAAAGAGTAGCAGTGAAAGAGGAGCTGTCGAAGAGAGGAGTGGCTGGGTTTGAGGATCTCTTATGCCCGATGTGTGGGAAGGGGGAGGAGTCGATTTCACATTTGTTTTTGCATTGTGAGGTGGTTTGGGTTCTGTGGTCTAGATTTTTTAGGGGCTGGAATATTTCTTTTGTGGTTCCTAATAAGGTGATTGACTTCTTAATTTTGTGGGATGAGTTAATGCCGAGATCTACAATTTGGAAATTCATTCCAAGGGCGGTGTTGTGGTCGGTTTGGAAATGTAGGAATGAGATTATTTTCCACAAAGGGAAAGTGGATTCTGCACTGTTGTTCTTTCTTGCTAGATTCAGAACTGTTTCTTGGTTTGGGGCGAGATTCAAGGATATTAAGATTCCTTTTGATTCTCTAGTTGGGGATTTAAAATTGGCAGACTCGATTAAAAGACAGAATCATAGATGTGTTCCTACTTCTTGGTGGGTACCTCCGCCAGAAGGTTTCATCAAACTTAATGTGGATGGGGCAAAGGTTAAGGGATGGGATAAAGGAGGAATTGGCGGTCTGATTAGGGATGATAGAGGTTTGAAACTAGGATCTTTCTCTGAAATAATTGGAGGAGGTCCTCCTATTCTTGCAGAGTTGCTGGCGATCAAAAGAGGTTTAAGTCTCATTGAAGAGTTGGGATCTTTTCCAACTCAGAGGATTATCTTGGAATCAGACTCGACCACGGCTCTCAAATGGATCAAAAATCCAGAATTATGTACCTCGTTGTTTCAGTCCTTGGTAAGAGGCGTAGCTACTTATGTGGAAGGAAGGGGTATCATCTCAAGACATATTGTGAGAGTTGCTAACTGGGAAGCGGATGAGTTGGCAAAAGCTGGTATAGGATGATCAGTGGTTATGAGTTATAGTTATTAAGCTGGGGTGTTCTGTTTTTTAAGGGGCTTGGTTTTTTGTGCTGCAGTTTGTGTCTATGATTGTTAAGTCTTATGTTAGAAGCAGACCATGGTTATGGATTGGTTGTATGTTATGTTCAAGATTAATACAATTCAGAGGCGCTCTTTTCCTCCTTCCTTTGTCCTTCATGTTACTTATGTAACATGTAGGATATGAAGGGGGTTTTTAATGAGGCCTATATTCTATCAAAAAAAAAAAAATACATAACACTACAACAACAGAACACAACACCTCAACCAATCCCCTCTTTTGCTAACTTGTCTGCTTCCCAATTACAACTCCTTGGAATCCAATTAATAATAAAACCCCTAGCAGATACATAGGCCCCAATTTCCTCAACCAAAGAGCTACAGAACGTTGGGGCAGAAATAGGTATCAAGATCCAATCCACTGCTTTCCTGCAATCACTCTCGAGGATAAGTCTTCCCTTCGTTGCCCACTCCGATGAAAGAAATACATCAATTCCAGAAGCATTCCCTGCAGCACTTGAAAGCTTTTAATCCCTAATAGTCTTTTTTGGGTCCTTGTGATTATTTAAGGATGACGTAGGGTAAGTATTTTTATAATACCTTCTGGATGTTTGTATATTTCTTGTATGTTCATGTAGATAAATATTTTTGGGTTAAAAGTTGTTTATCTTTATATATAGATTGTTAAGTTTCTTATCAATGCCATTTCTGCTTCTTCGATATTAGCACTCTAAATGTAACTTTCTCTAATTGTAACTTAGGCGTCAGCAAATTTTGTCATTAAAAGTTGGAAATTTGTTTATTTCCCTTTTTGGGATATCATCCATATATACTAAAATATATATTCCATGTGAAATGCATTAATTTCTTTGTTTTAACATAGGTTGTGGAAATCATCGCTCGAAATTTGGAAAGTGAGTCAAGTTTACACCGAAGGGTGGATTTGTTCTTTCTCGTGGATTCTATTACTCAATGCTCCTGGAGTTTGAAAGGTATTATTTATGTTTAACTAATTTGGTGTAGTATAATTTAGCTGAATGATGGGTGTATGGTTATGTATTATGAATATGACTGTTTTTGAGGAGTTTGATGTCCAGGTCATGTTGGTGGTGTCTACCTTTCAGCTATCCAAGCAGCCTTGCCTCGTCTACTCTCTTCTGCAGCTCCACCTGGACCTATTGCTCATGAAAACCGTCGGCAGTGCTTAAAGGTGTGTGACTTTTGGCTGCTTTTGTTTAGGATTTTTGGTTTCTGACCTACTTTTTTCGATATAGGTTTTGAGACTTTGGCTGGAAAGAAAAATCCTTCCAGAACCTGTTGTTCGCCACCATATAAGAGAACTTGATTCGTTTGGTGTTTCATCTTCTGGCGGGCCCTTTTCTCGGCGTACAGCTAGAACAGAGAGACCATTCGATGATCCTGTCAGAGACATGGAGGGTATGCTTGTGGATGAATATGGAAGGTATGAATTTCTGAATCTCTATAATTCATGATTACTTATAATAATTCTAGAACTGCGTTTCTAATATATTTTTGTTATTTCCTCAGCAATTCTAGCTTTCAGCTTCCTGGATTTTGTATGCCCCGAATACTGAAGGATGAGGATGAGAGAAGTGATTCTGATGGATGTAGTTTTGAGGCTGTCACTCCAGAGCACGATTCTCGAATCCCTGAAGAACAAGAGGCAAACCCTACAATTGAAAAGCGCAGACATATTTTGGAAGATGTTGATGGTGAACTTGAGATGGAGGATGTTGCCCCCTCGGAGATTGAAATGAGTTCAGCCACTGCTGCTGCTGGAGTAAATGCTGCACAAGCTTCAATACAGCAGGGAGATCAGCATTTTTCTTTGTCATTTGCCCCTCCTTTACCTCATGATGTGCCTCCATCATCACCACCACCACCACCTCCCAACCCTCCTTTCCCAATTTCTGATCACTATGCAAGCGTTAATTCAACAATTCATACAAGCATACATGTTGGTCTTGTTTGTATTGCATGCTGATTTCATTTTTCTTATTATTTAAAAATGATATATGTTGGCATTTGAATTGTTTGTTTTGATTATGTTTGCAGAATAGGCAAGATGATTTGCAATCCACAGTTCCCTCATTGGTTGCACCCAGAATTAATCCAGCTATGTGCACCTCTTCAGTTCCTTATCTCGGACATGAGTCTAGAGATCTTCCAGTCCCCATGCAGGTTTCTGATTTTAATACCTCTTTCAACAGTTTCTCTGTACATCAGATGAATAATATTCAACAAACTGATGGTCCGAACTTCCACCACAATGACTACCCTCCACGACCCCCTCATCCTCTGCCCTCAAATCAGTTCCCATATGGTAATTCAGGCCCGCATATGAACCTGATGAGGGATGCACCACCTCCTCTCTATTCCAACCGATACTATTCACCTAACATGGAAGGGGGTAACTATTATAGTAGCCACGAGAGAATGCAACCGGCCTCGAATGATCCTAGAGACAACTGGAGGTTTCCTCCCCCACCTTTCTGTGGTAGGGTTTTTCAAATTTATCTTGTATTTACAGTCTGCTGTCATATGCCATTTTTTGAATGATTAAATCTGATTGTACTTGTTTTTTCTCAAATTAGGTCCGCAGTATGCTGCTGATAATCCGGAAGCATATGGCTACGGTTCATATGGTGGGCCCCAGTGTGGGTCAACAAGGTATCCAAACCAAAGATGGGGCTTCCATCCCCCGCCAATGAATCACTGTCACAGAAGCTCCTTTCCTGTCGGACCACATCCAGAAGGTGTAGTACCAGTTGGATCAAGAGGTATGCATTCGTCCTGTGAGATTCTGCTGTAAAAGTTTGCTTCTTTTAGATATCATTATAGATACCCTGCATTTAGGGCAGCTTCTTAGTACTTTTTTTAATGTGTTTCAGCTCCAAGCTGGCGTCCAAGATGACACTAAATATACGGGGGGTAACTTTTATTTCTTGTTGGCATGGGCTCAGCGGGCAGGATTTTGAAAAGAGCTATATGTTTTTTTTTTGTCGGGGAAATATATTGTTTGCGATGCAATGAGAGAAGTGATGAATGATATACGAGTCGGGAGACAGAAGATCAGCATGTTGGCATGGCAACGGTGATGGCAATGACATGCTGGTTTTTGTAAATGTATGTATTCTATCATCTTTATTCTATCATCTTTACCGTAAGATAGATATAAGATAGACAGGGGACAGAGCAGAGGGCTGAGAAGTGTGGACTTTTTGACTCCCTAACTCGGGGGTTATCATGTCATGTCATGTATCTGAAATTTGTAATTGCGTAATTTATTTCGGAAACGCCTTTTATAGGAATTATAGCACCCTTCAAAATGAGCCCTATTCTATATTTTGGTAGGCTTTTATAATATGTTTTAGAACCCCATTTTGGTCTGTAAACAGGTATTTGACTATGGTGTTGGATGTTGATACAGTGGCAGAGAATATAAAATGGATCTGATCGGACTGGACTCTACTAATACAACACAAACTGAAAATTATCTTTTATACATGCAAATGGATGACATGCCACTTCGGGAAAAAAATTCTTTTAGTAAAATATAATAAATAAATAATTGGATCTATAGCATGACATGAATTATCTTTTATACAGTTTCTGTTAATTTGGAATTCATTATTAACATTTACAGTGTAAAGACATTTTATATTCTTTTCCATTTGGTTCTTATAATTATTTTTAGGTAGATTTGTCCTAAGATTTCAAAAATAGTTAGTTAAATCATTTTTTTCTTGACCAAACGCTAAATCTTTGAGGACTTTGGCATAGATATAATATTATTTGTCATATGTTATGTTAATAAGTATTTTAAAATATAAATGAAATATGTAAAAATTATTGCACAAGTTAGTGCTGTCAAAAAATTAGTATCCTAGTTAAAAGTTCCGTTGAGAACTAGTGATTCATTTTATTTTATTTTTTTTTGAACGAATGAATGTGAAATTTAGTTTTCTTAAATGTTGACATTCAGATTGAACTTATAAGAAGAATAGGAGACACATGGATAAAAAATATAAACGTTAACGAATTACATTTATCCTTTTTACAAATTGAAGTACTTGTCATAATATTATATTGCAATGATAATGATAATTTATATAAACATGTAAATTTACATAATTACATCGTGTTTTTTCAAAGCATGTTATATTGTTTGTGGTATTTATATCATAAGATCTTGTGCACTAGAAACTGCAGGGTGTTCATTGTCAAATAGTTTAAAGTTTTCAGAATAAATACTACTACTTCTAAACACTTTAGATCATTAAAAAAAATCATGTAACTTACTAATTATGAGTGCAGAACAAGTCCAAAAGATTACCTAGCCCTAGTGCTTGACAATTTCACCATGTAACTTAATCATTGCTGTCGTTATTATTGCATAATCTTCTTTACATGGCCTACCCTATATCTTGTACATATGTTTGCAGCCAAAACAGAGTAACCCAAAGTTAGAAAGCCAGAAATGGGGGCTTCGGAATCAGTTCCTCATAAATCAATCCATGAATTTACAGTCAGGGTTCTTTCCTTCTCTACCCCTGAATGATTTTTTTGTTGGGGTTTTAACTGTTTTGTTTGTGTTGTAGGATTACAAGAACCAGGACGTGGACCTCAGCATGCACAAAGGAAAAGTTCTCCTTGTCGTCAATGTTGCCTCTAAATGCTTCTTTTCTCCCTTCTTCTTCTTCAACTTCAACTTTCTTTTTTTCTTCTTCCTGATTTTGGGATTTTGAACAGTGAGCTTACTGATTCAAATTACGTCCAGTTGACCGGTCTTTACAACAAGTAAAAGGATAGAGGTTACTTCTCTTTTATTTACTGTTTCTTTCTTAAGAAATCTATACGTGGCAATGATCCAGTAGAACCCTAGATGTTTTTATTTTGTAATAATAAAAATTTAGGCAATATGGTCATATGAAGCAATTAGATGATTCTGTAGCATTGTTTACATATTTCATTATTTGAAGATGCTTTTATTGTTTTTGTAAGTCAAGGACTGGAGATCTTGGCATTCCCATGCAATCAGTTTGTGAATCAGGAACCAGGGAGCAGCCAAGAGGCACAGTAATTTGCTTGCACAAGATATAAGGCTGAATACCCTATTTTCCAAAAGGTCATTCAAATATATTCATCATTGTTTTCCTTTCAAGAAACTAACATATGTGCCCATCAAAATTATTTGATGCATTCCAATTTAAGTGTGCTAATACCATCAACTATACCTAATGTTCAATATAGGATTCAATTTGATATCTCACTGTTAAAAAATTTGCAAAAATACTGACATGACATTTTTTATTTTTTCAGTGATGACGTGACATTTCTTACGGTCACACATCAACATCACCGTTAAGGTTTTTCGCGGTGGGATATCAAAATGAATCATAAACTAGACGTTGGGTATAGTTTCGAAAAAAAAATAAAGTTTGGAGTATTAAAATTGAACAAAAGTAATAGGTTATGTACTTAATGTGTAATTTACTCATTTTTATATAAATTTTTAAGATTGATCATGTAATGGCATGCACTACCATTGACTATTGATGCAGTTTCTTTGAAATATCATTATCACAATAGAATCAGTTTAGATGTGTTTCAGACATTTTGATACTGTGACAACCATTTATATAGATTCTGTTTCATATTACTGCATATGCATATAGTTGCATTAAACACAAATCCAAGAACAGCCCATCGCTGAGCAGCGATAGCTAAAGTAGAGTACTTTCACTCAATAATGCTGAACAAAACTCATGCAATGGTTATATGCTAAAAGAAATAGCAGCTGAATCAAGGATCAATGTACTCCGCATACTGTTGAACAAAAAAAATGCAGTCTTGTATTATGTTATATGTATATATATAACTGGGGGTCTTCTTTGGATCATATGAATTCACTGTACAACTTGGAATTCGGCATCTCTGTCAAAAATTTCCCATCCATCGTCCGACAGTTCTTTGCCATCAGCTTTGTTTCTTTCATCTGAAGATCTGCTTTTCGGTGATTGTCCATTCACAGATGGGGTTGGGCTTCTTTTCTCTCGGCTTTTAGCTGTTTCCCACTGCAGAGAACCACGCTCTGATGTTGCGCTTTTCAGAGATGAACTGGAGGCCAGGATGCAGCTGGTTTGGCTTGAGGATATTGATTTACTTAATGGAACACGCTCATTAAACTTTTGTTTAAGCACTCTTATATCCTCGCAAATAACCGATATTTCTCCCCTGCAAAAAGGATAAAATGGAAACGTTAACCATTCTTCGATTAATATTCTGTTCCTCGCAAACAACAAATCAGAGATGAATATACACACTTTTGTTCATCAGATGATAGCTAGAAATGCATAAAAAAAATACTGATATTAGCATGTATGATCCATTCTGGTGCTAATTCATGCTCAACACCAGAGGCATAATAACTATATATTTTGCTCACCACTTATCTTCTTATTAGTACCAACAAAAACAATATAAACTTTTAACTGGAATAATCAAGATCACTTGTCTTAGTTAACAAATTTCCATCAGACTCGTAAGATGTAAAATAAGATAAAATGCAAATGGATCGAAACATATATAATCATGCAATAAAACTTACTGTAATGCATCAACGATTCGACCACGGTCCATAAGAAACTCACGTAACTGCAGTGAAGCAAGAACACAGAATACATAAGTCAACTAAATAATCTTTTTTAAACTTTGTCAAGTCTGACAAGTACTAGTACAGAGTGGACAGAAATGAACGCTACCTTGGAATTTTCTTCTGCCTCCTGCCTTAGAATCTTGGACTCTTCGACCACCTTCATCATTTTGGCTTCTTGTTCAGCAAGAATATTACGAGCAGATTCCTCTTTTTCCAGCTTTTCCTGCTCTGCTGCTCTCATCAATTCCTGTGCCACAGATTGTCGAGCTTCGAGGGTTTGACGCATCTGTCAATAAATGCATACAGGTATAAAATGGGTGTATAACAATCTCAGCCTTTCAAATCAATATAATGTACTTGTCAAATGCTGGTTTATGGAAAAAAACTGATGAATTTGTTTTGTAGGAAGTTTTCAACTTCTCCATATTCCCACCACATGGATAAAAATAGCGATCAATCAAACTAACTGGATAGGAGTTTATAGTAAATATCTACTAAATAACAGATCTAATTTGTTGCAAAATTACCTCATCAAGAATGGAAAGAGATTTATCTCTTTCATCTGACAAGCTGAGTAAGCGATTTTCAAGCTCCTTTACTTCAGTGACTAGGATTGCTTTCTCCCCATATACTTCTCCAGTATGCTGCAAAACAAAACCAAAGGACTGATCTTTCATACCCTTTAAAGAATCATTAAACTGGAATTTATTATTGGTAACTAAAAGATCCAGTCATTAACAAGTGCACAACCATGTCATTTGCTTCCTTAGCATGCAGCAGCATCTGTTTAAGTTCCTCCACCTTGACAAGAATATACATGCCCCCCCTTGCAGCTTCCTCTTTTGCTTGTTCTGCAGCTGCCTCTTGAAGTTCAACTTCTTTCATCAAGTTCATAATGGACTCCATGGTCTGAAACAAAATTTTCTACACCGAAATCTGATAAGTTAAGGGTTCATCCTCCCAAAATATGAAGAGAGCAATGAACCATTTTTCATATTAAAGTGCTTCTTGGACAAGAAAAAACATCAAAACCTCAAACTAATTTCATCATCATGAAAAAAAATTGAATGATACAACAGACTTAGTAGTAGCATTGCATAGGATTCATTCTCATTTCCAAAACACCTCTGAAATTGACAAAAGAAAGTAAATGTTTAGAGCAGAAGGTACCTTGTTACTTTTAGCATCTTCAATGATATCTTCAAGTATATCAACTTGACATGTCAGACTAGATCTACTAACAGCAGGATTGAAGGTATCGTCCTCATTATCACTCATTTCACCAAAGCAGTACTGATGGGATTTAAGGTCCACTGAACCTTTTCCTTGTTTCTCAGAATGAATAGAGTGAATCACAGAACCAATTTCAAAATGCTGATCAGTCCTCGGGTCTTCTGGCATTTGCTCTGGAGAATATGATGGAGCCACCAGACCAGCAGAATTTTCTTCACCTACCATGGTTTCATTTAATGAACTGTTTCTGCACATATCTTCATTCAAATTCACGGGCTCATCAAAATTTAACTTATCATTGGAGCTTCCACTACCACCTGCATTCCCCAAAAGCAAGGGTGAATCATTAGGCGAGGTGAATTGTGAAACCTGGGGAGTACTCAAAAATGCATCTTCAATGTCTTTGGTTCGGTCTTGACTTAACGAACCTGACTCCTTAGTTTCAAGATTTGCATATAGCATAGAATTATCAACCTCTGACGTATTCAAGCTTAAACTAGACTCATCTTTCTGAGTTTCAGCATTCCCCAACAAAATCAATTCCTCAGTTTCAATATCAGCAGCTTCATTATTATTGCTCTCATGGAATTTCGAACTAGAAGCTGCACTTGATGCTTCAAGAGAATCCACATTGCTGACAGCATTGGTAAGATGAGTTTCTCTGACAACTTCTCCTGTTTCCAACAATGGTTCTGTAGAAGAGCATGCTCTTTTTCCAGCCAATACTTTTCGCCGCGTCAACTGATTGCTTTCTTCCTCATCTGCAGCAGCGTTTTTTAAAATCCATTTATGAAGTTAAACAGGTCAATAGATCAAGGAATAAAAGCCAATATACAACTAATAGACATGCATATAATGAAGTAGCAGTTTTCCTCTAATCTGATATATAGACCAGAAAAATACAGATAACTAAACTGTTCACATAATTTCATGATTTAGAAAATCCAAAAGAACATATGCAGCCTGAACATGGTGCAGAATAAACCAAGTCCACCACTAACTCATGAAAAGAGCTACCTTCATTTGGCTGCACTGGAGGACTCTGGTTCTGTGAGGAAGAACCGACAACCACAGTTCTTCTAGAAAAGTAAGGTATTATCTCAGTCAGAACAATCTCAGCTGCTGTATCAACATCCTTAGAGTTCTCAATAGCAACAGCTTTTAGAATACGAGAATCAACCTGCGAAGGTATAAGAAAGCTATTTTTCACTGGATGTTATATTTTCGGATTATGGCATTACAATTTAGCAAGTAATAAAGAAAATTTAAAGCTGAAGCAACAAATTGAACTTCAACCATATAATTTCTAAATAACTTCAAAAGAGGTCACAGTCGCACGACATTTTTGTATTTAATATACCCCCAGCAAAAACAGGATTACAATTCAGCAAAAATAAATACCTGAGGAAATATATTCTGCAAACATTGATAGACCTTATTGAATCCCATTCCAGAGAGCTATTAACCTGCAAACGGAAAAACCAGAAATTTTACACTATATTTGATCAACGTCATAAGCAATGAAGAAAATACTCTAAACAGAAATCATAATTATAACCCTGTAAAAATAAATGTAAACTATAAAAAAGGCAATGCGATTGAAGGAAAATACGAAAACTTATTTACATGCAAAAATAACAATCAATAGACAATTTTCTATTAATCAGTGGGAAAAAAAACCTAAGGAGCAAAACAAAATTAATATGAACACAGCATCGTAGAATTAGATGGACATAAACCAGAAAACCCTAACGCTCCGTTTGGTGTTAAAAGAACAACGAAATCGATTTTTTTTAAAAAAAAAAAAACTTAAATCTTTCTGAAGGAGAATAAGAAGGAAAACCGGAAAGGATTTGTAAATCGAAACAAAGAAAAACGAATTATGAAACAATGAATCAGTTTGGCGGCACAGAAAAGTAAAAATACAATCAGAAAAAGATTGAGAATTTAACCGTTGAGAACGCAAAATCAAAATAAGATAAAATTCATGAAAATTTAAGGAAAAAAGGACCTTTATCGAGCGAACGAGAGAGGAGAGATTGGTGCTAGGGTGGTATTTGTTTTCTAAATTTTAATTTCTAATTAAATTTTTGTGTTCATTGTTTACAAAATATATATAGTGTGGCCTGTGGGGAAGCTGGAACGGCCAGGAGAACTACGCAGCTAAGAAAGAGGATACCCCTGTGATTAAGGGTTTTATTTGAGGGCATTCTCGTCCAAAAATTCATACAGAAAGAGTCTTGACCGTTTGGGTCTTTGTGATTGGACTGCAGACATTTTCTTTTTGAGGGGTTGTATTTGTCAAACGAACCTTCCTTGGACCTTGCCTGCAATTTATTAATGGCTAAATTCTATAAATGGTCACTGAAGTTTGAGTTTCCCTTTTTTCTATTGATATTTTAAAAATAACGATTTGGTCATTGATATTATCAATTTATAATATATCAGTCACTCTACTATTAATAGTCATTACTGAGATAACAAAATATTAATCGTAGCACATTAAATCAATTGACCCGATACCTTTGACCATGCTTGACAATAATTTTACGATGTTTGACTCTTCTATTTCAAAGAGGACCCTCGTTTCTAAACAATCCTTAATTATCCATTTCAAAATCAATTTCTCTTTTATAATTATGGATGAGAATTTATAGAAAAAAGGGAGTTTTTGATGCGATGATAAAAGCAAATAACACTCGTGTTCTTGATCTTTACAATATGGCTAATAGGTTTTGTGGTTCAATGTGCTTGTCCTTCTTAGCATATATGCGGTTCAGCCACTTTTTGGAAGAACTTCGTAACTGGCAGACCTACAATTACAGTTGGTTACGTGTTTTCCCTAAAATCTAAATTATTTTTTGTTAGTTATTTATTTTATTGATGTCCTTGATCTAAAATTTTATTTGTGTTTATTCAATTCAAAAATTATGTTGTAACATATGAGTATGAGTATTCGAAAATATTTCTAAATCAGATGGTAAAATTCAAAAATTATGTTGTTACGCATGTGCATCAAAACTTATATTTATCGGCATTTGCAGGGTCTTTGCCTGCATTCCTCTCACAGTCCTTCCTGTACCTGCTGCAGTTCTTACCGTGAGTTTGCATTACATTTAGATTAACATAATTATGTTATTGGTTTTTGAAACAACATTCAATTGTCTTTTGGAGAGGTAAATTTGCAGCTTGGGGGAGGTTATCTGCTCGGGCTGCCTCTGGGGTTTATTACTTATTCAATTGGTTCTACGTTAGGCGCTACGGTTGCTTTCATTTTTGGCAGAACAGTTAAGTCTTGCAGCTGAGATGTTATGTGTATGACAGTATGAAGACCTATATATATATATACAGCATGTGCGATAATAAGCTTTAATGTCTTTCGTTTGCTTTGTCTAGCAGATTGGAAGACCATATGTAATCTCCAAGCTAAGGAATTACTCGCAGTTCCAAGCAGTTGCTATTGCAAGTGAGAGATCTGGGTTCAAGGCATGTGTTCTTGGTCTTTTCTTAGCTTATTGTGCATGCATGTTGTATTTATCTGGTTAATATGTTGCCTCTTCTTGTTGTTGTCAATTTTACGGATGGGCTTTACAACAGAGTTTCATAATACATTACAGTTTCAAATTGTACTGCAGGAAGCAAATGCAATTATGAAAAATGATTTACTTTTTGCTAAATATTAAAAATGATGTACTCTTTACTAACAAATGCAATTAAGCGAAATCCAGAGCTCATTAACATCGGTATACCTGCATAGTAATGTATTATGAATATCATTTAAGCATGTTGAAACTACTTAAATGACAATTACCTGCAGTATAATTTGAAACTGTAATGTATTATGAAACTCTGTTGTAAAATTGTTGATGTTTTTCTTGTTTCTGGTTGCTTAACAAACAGATAGTTTTTCTGCTCCGACTTGTTCCTCTATTGCCATTCAACATGTTGAATTACCTCCTTTCGGTGACTTCCGTCCGTTTGGGGGAGTACGTTTTGGCATCTTGGTTGGGAATGATGGTATTCAGCCCTATAACTATATCTTTCTTTTTCATTTATTGGAAAATGCTCATGGAAGACAAGGTTACTATTGTTATTACCATTGCTTTGAGATTTCTTCTTTACATTCTTTTTCGGTCTCACATTGTTCAAGTTGTTAATCGTCGTGTTGCTTCTTATTTATTACAGCCAATCACATTTGGGATGGTATATGTTGGAACAACACTAAAGGACCTTTCAGATGTAACACACGGAATAGATGAAGTTTCCACAAGTCATCAGGTATGTGTTAAGCTCCTTTCTCTGTTAACTTCTACAGGATAATCGATCTTTCACTCGTAGTAACAACTTAACAAGTTATATTTCACAATGCTACATGTTTCTGTCAATCGTAGTATTGACCTTTGTCTGCTAATACAGGTTATTATGGCATCCGGTAAGGTCGTGTCATCTCTAATTTTTAGCCTTGCTTAGAAGTTTAACGTGAAGAACACCGGGGTAGATATTATTTTTGAAACAATTTTGCTTTTTTATTTTACTTTCACAGCGATTCTGATATTTTGCATAACTAAAGTGGACAAGAGTGCTTTGGAGAAGGCACTGGCTGAGAGTGCTAAACAAGGGATAATTTTAGCTCCATCAATGCTCCCTATTGTGGCAGACAATTCTTCCGTGGATCTTCACAAACCTTTTGTAATCGGGGACGAAAACGAGAGACAGAGTCTTGTTTGATGTGAAGCCGTCAAAGGCCTCTAGCAGTATTTGTATATAACATTCATCCAAATCCAACTTAAACTCTTATCAATATAGCACACCTCTTTGTGGCTGACTAGGATACTTGAATCTTGCCGGTTGCCAGTCCTAAAGTCAGCACTTCCTTTTTAAAAAACTAGTGTTTCAACCTAATTGCTTTCATCTTCGACCTTGATTTATCTTCTTAGAAAACAAAATTCTCCATCTCGAATTCATTGAATCTCTTTTTTCTCAATAAAATGGCCAAAAATCTCGTCAAATACTATGTGGTAATTATCCGTCTCTATGTTTGTGGTTAGGGAGTTAGGTTTCTGATGTGTGGACCTTGAGTCGACCCGTCCGATGTGGGCAAGGCGAAGACGTGAGTTAAGGCGGTTGATGAAGAGAGTGGGGGGAGCAGAGTGTGGAAAAATCAAAAGCAGCCAGCTGCTAGGCTGCTGATTTTTTGTTTTTTTATTATTATTTTTGTTGAATTATGTAAGGGATAATTACAACATTTAATCATTGTACTTTAGGGTATTTACAAGATTAACCCTTAGGTTTCAACTATAAATACCCTAGCTCATTTAGTTTCAAATCATCCCAAAGCATTCTAGCTTTCTTCCAATACTAGAGAATTTAGAGAGTTTCTTGAGAGTTGTTTTCTTCTTTTTATCAAGAGAGAATTATCATTGTTTTCTCCTTGGTAGATAGAGAGAAGTTGTAATTCCTATTTTCTCATAGTGAAATTTTTCTACCGTTGCCCGTGGTTTTTACCCTATATTATTTAGGGGTTTTTCACGTAAATTTTGTGTCTCTTTTATCTTCATTTTTATTTTTTCAAATTATCAGTTGTGATTTTGCTCTATCCGATAACCGTCTTCCGCAACACAGAGGAGGGTGGACTTGCCTTGTTGACTAGGTCATACAAATGAAATGGCGTGAGCTGGAGAAGAACGAAGAAGGGAAACAACGGATTCCTCTTTCTCAATTCTCCTCTTCGGTCATGGTGTTTTTACCACCCCTGCTTTTAACCAATTTCCTTTTCTATTAACTATTCGATTCATCATTTTTTTTTATATTTTTATTTGTTAAATTAAAAAAGTTAAATTTTAATTATTTATGTTATTAATATTATATTTTAATCATTAAATCTTTAACTTCTATTAGTTTAATGATGTAGAACCTCAGTTAAAAGAGGTTAATTTTTAATTTCACTTCTATTGTTGGACCACTTCTCCGTACAGACCATGTAGGAAAACAAGATTTTAGGTCGAATCCTCGTGTAGTCTAGAATAAAAAAAGATGGAGTTAGTAATTTTAATGATTAATTTAGTACAATATAAAAATATTGATGATTAATATCTTAAAATTATAATTTTATTAAAATAAAATAATATTTAATTTACTATTATGTTGATTTTATTAATTATTATATTATTTATTGTTAATTTTTTTAAAGATGATAATTTTTTTTAAATCAGATATTACTTACTAATTTTTATAATTGAAGAAAAATATTCATTATTCACATATTTTATCTAATTATCTTTATGCCAAAATAAATCCCTTCCACAAACTACATGAAATACATCCTCAATATTAGAAAGATTCCAAAACAATGTCGATTGTTAGGATGAAAGAACAGAATATTTCACTCTCGGTTCTTTGTTTTAATTAATTTGGGTTGGCATGTATCGTCGTCGCACATCTAATTTTAGTGGGTGAGTGTTTCAGTAGGAATTTTCTGTATACATAAAGACTCGACCTTGAGACTTTGATTAAGCGATATCAAACTAATTACTACTTGAATCAACCTATGATAATAGAAATATTATATTTTTAATTGATTCTGATGTATTTATTTTTTATCGTTATGTCTAGAAATAATCATATAATATGAACAAGTATGATTGATTGATTGAGTTATACCTTCTTATAAGAAGGTTAGGGCAAGAGGTATAGGGTAAGACACGTTTGTAGCGACTACCCCATCTAACATTCTTTATAAAAGATCCACTAATTGTTATTAATTAGTTGCCTCTCAATTAGATTTGATGATCATCTTTATTGGTTGTGCTTCTTAAAATCAAACGGTAACTTGTTTTGTTTGATTTTGACTGCTTTTTATGCCCCTATAAAGGGTAGCAAAGTTGTCGCTCAAAACAACAATTATGTTCCCTTTAATTTCAGTGTTTTTTTTTAATAGAGGTATAAATGAATCTAATTTGAACAGATAAAATTATGTTTTATGTTTGTTTATTTTTTAAGGTGTTTTTTTATTTGTATTCATTTAAATTTACAGTGTTTTGTTCAAGTTGATTTACTTAATTTTAAAATTATTCATGTTTGTTCGTTTACTGTTTGCGAACATATTCGTTTAAAGCTGGACAATAAACACTCTCTTTGAAATGATGAAATTACACCAGTAGTCCTTAATTTTCTTAGGCTTCACAATTTAAACTCCAAAGTTTACATTATGTTCAATTTAGTCCTTAAGTGTATTAGTATTCACTAATATTTAAAGTTTTTTTTTAAAAAAAAATTATGAACAAGAAGACCTCAGTGATTAAGGAATTGTCTTTATTTTAAATACCAAATGTAAATAACAAAATTATTTGATGAATATAAAATTTAAATGATAAAACACCTAAAAGAAATAAAGATAAAATAAAATAGGTTGAAAAAAATTTACATTGAGTGATAAGTAAATCTTTATTGCTTATATTTTCCCACTCTTTCATTTAGAAAAGAGAAAATCGCCTCAGTGACCAAAAAAAAGTTATAATATACGATTTTAACCAACTTTTTTTGGATTTGCCAAAATGACCAACAAAATCGCAACGCGAAATAAAAATCGCAACGCGATCCCCAGAATCGCAAATCAGTTTCCAAAATCGCAACGCGATTCTTGAAAATCGCGATGCGATAGTACAAATTCGCATTGCGATTTTCAATAATCGCAACGCGAATATGAAAATCGCAACGCGAACACATAAATCGCAACGCGTATCCGTAAATCGCAACGTGTATCCGTAAATCGCAACGCGTATGGGTAAATCGCAATGCGTATCCGTATATCGCAACGCGTATCCGTAAATCGCAACGATAATACATAAAATCGCAACGCGTATCCGTAAATCGCAACGTGTATCCGTAAATCGCAACGCGTATCCGTAAATCGCAATGCGTATCCGTAAATCGCAACGCGTATCCGTAAATCGCAACGATAATCCGTAAATCGCAACGCGTATCCGTAAATCGCAACGATAATCCGTAAATCGCAACGAGAATCTGTAAATCGCAACGATAATCCGTAAATCGCAACGAGAATCTGTAAATCACAACACTGAAATTTTGGGTATATAACACTGAAATCATAAACTAAATCCCTAAATCGCAACTCATTCCATCTCCATCTATCACTCTCTCCGGCGACATCCGTTCCTATATCCAACGACATCCTTCCCAATCCGGCAACAGGTTTTAGTTTCGCAGCTCGTCTGTTTAGTAAATTAATTTACAACCATGAAATCATCTGATCATGTTTGGATAGATTTGTGTTTTGGAGGGTCATGGGATAATGTTCATGGTGTTTTACAATATATGCCTTTACCCATGAATCTTCAACTAAAATTGTCTTTACAAAAGTTAACTTATGAAACTCTAATGCTACGTGTTTCAAATAAATTGAATTTAGAGCCCCTAAGTGGATTTAGGCTATCTTATCAGAGAAATGGTAAAGTTTATTTGTTAACCGACAATGAAGATGTTGAACGATTC